AGACTATGGCCCGCAGGCCACATGCGGCCCCCTGAGGCCATTTATCCGGCCCCCTGCCGCACTTCAGGAAGGGGCACCTCTTTCACTGGTGGTCAGTGAGAGGAGCACAGTATGTGGCGGCCCTCCAACGGTCTGAGGGACAGTGAACTGGCCCCCTGTGTAAAAAGTGTGGGGACGCCTGGACTAAACCATAATGACATCCCAAGTGAGGGATTTTTGCTACTCTCCAAGGCCCAGAGGCTAGAAAAAGGGAGAAGATTCTCTTTTTCTAATTAATTAACCAGCTATATTAGATATATTGGGAGTTGACTTTGATTCTGAGTTTTAGTCATGTGTTAGGAAGGAGGTATTATATTTTGTCTTGATGAGTAAATTTAAATATAGACATGCCAAACAGAAAATTTCACCTGGGATGTTCGTGTTGGACACACTGATCCAGGTGTGCCAGCTGGCATTACGCAGTGGACATCTAGGTAAAAACATTTACTGTTCTGCAATTATGGCACTCACACGTCTCAGCTGCCTTTCAACTAGGCAGGGCTTTGGCCAGTCATCAGCCAGGAGGCTGAGGTGGGAGACTTGCTTGAGCCTGGGAGATTAAGGCTGCAATCCGTGGTGAGTAGAAATGATTGCGTCAAAGTCCAGACTAAAACCTATGAAAAGGTTGTGAGTTCTCTGCGCACTCTATTCTTCAGCCGTACAGCGGAGGCCCTCTTTTTTCTCATGTTGCAGCCACGAGATGTCGGGGCCTGAGTTCTTCAGTGGCTGTGTGGAGCAAACCCCACACTGACCCTCAATGGACATAACATATAAGAAATAAGGCCACGCATGGTGGCTCACGCTTGTAATACCAGTACCGGGGGACTCCGAGGTGGGCGGATCACTTGGTATCAGGAGTTTAAGACCAGCCTGGCCAACATAGTGAAACCGAGTCTCTACTAAAAATACAAAAATTAGCCAGGCATGGTAGCAGGCACCTGTAGTCCCAGCTACTTGGGAGGCTGAGGCAGGAGAATTGCTTGAACCTGGGAGGCGGAGGTTGTGGTGAGCTCAGATCATGCCACTGCACTCCAGCCTGGGCAACAGAGAGAAAAGAAAAAATAAAAAGAAAGAAAAAAACCGGCTGGGCGCAGTGGCTCACGTCTGTAATCCCAGCACTTTGGGAGACCAATGCAGGTGGATCAGGAGGTCAGGAGTTCGAGACTAGCCTGGCCAGCATGGTGAAACCTCATCTCTACTAAAAATACAAAAAATTAGCAAGGCTTGGTGGCAGGTGCCTGTAAACCTAGCTACTTGGGAAGCTGTGGCAGGAGAATAGCTTGAACCCCGGAGACGGAGGTTGTAGCGAGCTGAGATCACACCACTGCACACCAGCCTGGATGACAGTGTGAGACTCCAACTCAAAAAATAAAAAATAAAAAATAAAAGAAATAAACATAGTTGTATTATATTACTAAATTGAGATTTGGGGGAGTTCTATGTTACCGCATCATAGCCCAACTCATCTTGAGCAAATATAGCTATGCCTGTCGCTGGGGTCGAGATCAGATCCCTCGATCACCTTTAGAGGTGGACCATGGCTTAGAGAAAACAGGTTAAGTTTCTTCCTGCATGGATGCTTAAAGTACTAATGAGAATGGGGATGGGGTTATAGAGCCTTACCTCTGGTTTCACCTCAATCATGACTAGTTACATCTTGGGCAATTTGTTGGAATGGTTATGCGAGAAAATAAATAAAATTCCTCACGCATTTTTTAAGTCTATGGGAATGATTGATGTGCCCCATGTCTACTAATGAGGGCTAGACACAGATGTAATTATGATCATTACTACAGGGCACATCTTATGGAAAACAAGTCAATTGTAAACAAAAGTATACATGGTGCCAAGTGTGGCAGCTTGTGCCTAGAATTCCAGCAACTCAGGAGGCTGAGGCAGGAGGATCGCTTGAGTCCAGGAGTTGGAAACCAACTTGGGCAACATAGTGAGGCCTCATCTCCACAAAAAGTTAAAAAACAATCGCCAGGCCGGGCGCGGTGGCTCAAGCCTGTAATCCCAGCACTTTGGGAGGCCGAGGTGGATGGATCAGGAGGTCAAGAGATCAAGACCATCCTGGTCAACATGGTGAAACCCCGTCTCTACTAAAAATACAAAACATTAGCTGGGCATGGCGGCGCGTGCCTGTAATCCCAGCTACTCAGGAGGCTGAGGCAGGAGAATTGCATGAACCCAGGAGGCGGAGGTTGCGGTGAGCCGAGATCGCGCCATTGCACTCCAGCCTGGGTAACGAGTGAAACTCCGTCTCAAAAACAATAACAACAACAACAACAACAACAATCGCCAGGCATGGTGGTGTATACCTGAAGACCCAGCTTTTCAGGATGTTGAGGCAGGTGAGAGGTTCGTTTGAACCCAGGAGTTCAAGGCTGCAGTGAGCTATGATCACACCACTGCACTCCAGCCTGGATGATATAGCAAGACTCCTCTCTATGTACGTATGTAGAAAGAAACCTAGCTGGCAACTGCGGCTCACACCTATAATCCCAGCATTTTGGGAGACCAAAACAGGAAGACTGGTTGAGTACAGGAGTTTGAGACAAGCCTGGGCAACATAGTGAGACCCCATCTCTATAAAAAATAAAAAATTAGCCTGGTGTGGTGGCACACACCTGTAGTCCCAGCTACTTACGAGGCTGAGGTGGGAAGATTTCTTGAGCCTGGGAGATCAAGGCTGCAATAGCCATGATTGTGCCACTGCACTCAGGCTGGGAGATGGAGTGAGACCTTGTCTTAGAATAAAAAATTTTAAAAGCCCTTTTCTTTGTAAATTACACAGTCTCAGGTACAGAAAAACAAAACAAATTAAGACAGTGAATTAATGCCCCAGCCTCCAACCTGTAGAACAATTCTGAGATGCCCTCCACACAGTTTCTCAGAGAGTACTCAGAGCAAATGATTGGAGGGTAATGGTGTGAGAAGAACTCACTACAGCCTTGACCTCCCAGGCTCAAGCGACCCCTCCACCTCAGCCTCCTGAGTAGCTGGGACTACAGGTAGACACCATGACACCTGACTAAGTTTTTTTTGCTTTTTATTTTTATAGAGACAGGTTCTCACTATATTGCCAGGGCTGGTCTTGAACTCATGGGTTCAATCAATCCTCCCACCTTAGTCTCCCAAAACGCTGGTATTGCAGGTGTGAGGCACTGTGCCCAGTTCCTTCTTAACCTTTCTATCTTCTCTATCTCGTTTTTGCCCACCCCCACTCGTGCTTCCTGGGATCACTCATTTGGACTCAAGTCTTTGTCTCAGGATCTCTGTTATTCAAGGTTCTCCAGAGACACAGACGTGTAGGATATATATTGGCTCAAGTGATTATGGAGGCCAGCAAGTCCAAAATCTGCAGAGCCAATGTCCCAGCCCAAAGGTTGTCAGGCAAAAAGAGCTGATGTGCCAGTTGAAAGGCCATTGGGCAGGAGAATTCTCTCTTCCTTGGGGAAGGTGAGCATTTTGCTTTATTTCTGCCTGCAACTGATTAGATGAGGCACACCCACATACTAGAAGGCAATCAGCTTTACTCAATCTACCAATTTATCTTTTTTTTTTTTTGAGACAGAGTTTCGCTCTTGTTACCCAGGCTGGAGTGCAATGGCGCCATCTCGGCTCACCGCAACCTCCGCCTCCTGGGTTCAGGCAATTCTTCTGCCTCAGCCTCCTGAGTAGCTGGGATTACAGGCACGTGCCACCATGCCCAGCTAATTTTTTGTATTTTTAGTAGAGACGGGGTTTCACTATGTTGACCGGGATGGTCTTGATCTCTTGACCTCGTGATCCACCCGCCTCGGCCTCCCAAAGTGCTGGGATTACAGGCTTGAGCCACCGCGCCCGGCCATCAATCTACCAATTTAAATGTTAATGTCATCAAAAAACAGCCTCACAGAAACATTCAGAATACTATTTGACCAAGTATCTGGGCACCCATGGCCCAATAAAGTTGACACATAAAATTAACCCTCACAGACACCAAGTGCAGTTCATTTTGGAAAACATTCAACTCGTAGCAAGCGTGGAAACCTCTAAGGGAAGTATTTTGTGTGAACCATTCAACCTCAGGAATCATACATTTCGCTCACTGATCCCTTGCTCACATTCCTGTTCGTAGAATTCTGGGCCCCATTAAGGAGACGCCCCAGTCCTCAGGCAAAACCAGAGCTGGCCCTGCCATCCGTGAGTGTGAGACGGGAAGAGCTGTGGTCCAGGATGGAACGAAAGTTGTAATGCACATACTGGGCGTTCGTACATGCACGGGTCTTCAGGTATGCGTTGTCTCTTTCTCTGGAGTGGGCACTTACCGCAACTAACAGGAGGCTGGCCAGTTGTTTCACTACCTGCCCCGCTTTCCTCAGCTCTTTTTGAGGGATCTCAAAGTTCCCCAAAGGGCCCCAATTGCTATCGCTGTCCCTGGTGCTGACCAAACGCGAACGCCTCAGCGTTGCAGTGTTGGGGCCATTGGTACTTGGTGCTGCTCAGTTACTCTTTTATTTTCTCCTCCCCACGCCCCCCGCCGAATCTCTCTCTCTTTCTTTCCTCAAGGAAATGCTGCAGGTTGAGAGTGTGCTCTTGAAGCACAGACTAGACTTCGAGGATCAACACGGCATTTTGGCCCTTGCTGAAGTGCCTTGTGATTTCGGGAACCGGCCTGTGTATCCCCACTCACACAAGAATCAACACTTCCTTGCCGATCAATATTCCCAGAACTGGTGGCCCAGCAGGGGCTGAAGCTGATGTTTACCTCCCCCTCTCCTGCGGCAGAGATGCCCCCGCCCCTGCGGCTCCGGGAAGTGCCAGGGGTCCCTGGGAAGGCGGGAGATGGGGAAGGGGCAGGGTGAGAGGGCAGCAGGCCGCGTCTGCACGCGGGCTTGGGGAGCGGGGCTTCCGGGCCGCGGGGCCGCGGGGTCGCGGGGTCGCGGGGGCGGGTGTGATGCAATCGCGCCACAGCCGCTGCGTCAAGGGGCGGCTCCGGGATGCGGGGACTGCGGTAGAGCCGATCCCGCCCCCGCCGCCCGCCGCCGATCACCGCGCTCACCGCCGCCGCCGGCCTCCCGCGTCCCCCGCCGGGACGACCACCCAGAGCCACCGGAGACCCCCGACACCCGGCCCGAGGCACCGGTAACCCGCGGATTCGCCCCGGGGCGCGCCATGAAGTCTGCGGCCAGCTCGCGCGGGGGCGGTGGGGGAGGCCGCGGGGGCGGCGGCTGGGGCGGCTGGAGCGGAGGCCGAGGCGGCGGCGGCGGCGGTGGCGGAGGCGCGGGCAAAGGCGGCGGGGGCGACGGCGCCGGCGGCCCGGGGGGAAAGGGCGGCTTCGGGGCGCGGGCGCGCGGCTTCAGCGGGGGCGGCCGGGGCCGGGGGCGCGGCGGCGGGGACGGCAGGGATCGCGGCGGCGGCGGGCAGCGGCGGGGCGGAGTGGCCAAGAGCAGGAGCCGCCGCAGGAAGGGCGCCATGGTGGTGTCGGTGGAGCCGCACCGGCACGAGGGCGTCTTCATCTACCGCGGGGCGGAGGACGCGCTGGTCACGCTGAACATGGTGCCCGGCCTCTCGGTGTACGGCGAGAGGCGCGTCACGGTGACTGAGGGCGGCGTGAAGCAGGAGTACCGCACGTGGAACCCGTTCCGCTCCAAGCTGGCCGCGGCCATCCTGGGCGGGGTGGACCAGATCCACATCAAGCCCAAGTCCAAGGTGCTGTACCTGGGCGCCGCGTCGGGCACCACGGTCTCCCACGTCTCTGACATCATCGGCCCGGACGGCCTGGTCTACGCCGTCGAGTTCTCCCACCGCGCCGGCCGCGACCTGGTCAACGTGGCCAAGAAGCGCACCAACATCATCCCGGTCCTGGAGGACGCGCGGCACCCGCTCAAGTACCGCATGCTCATCGGGATGGTGGACGTGATCTTCGCCGACGTGGCCCAGCCCGACCAGTCCCGCATCGTGGCTCTGAACGCCCACACCTTCCTGCGCAACGGGGGCCACTTTCTCATCTCCATCAAGGCCAACTGCATCGACTCCACTGCATCCGCCGAGGCTGTGTTTGCTTCTGAGGTGAGGAAGTTGCAGCAGGAGAACTTGAAGCCTCAAGAGCAGCTGACCCTGGAGCCGTATGAGAGGGACCACGCTGTGGTGGTCGGAGTCTACCGGCCTCTTCCCAAGAGCAGCAGCAAGTAGCACCCAGCTCAGGCCCGCCCGCCATCTCCCCAAGCCGGTGTTGTGTTTGCTGTTATTTTCTATGTGTTTTCTTTGTGCGTGTTTTCTTTTGTTGTTTTTCTATTAAACTGCGTAAAGAAACGGTAGTCGTCTGTACGGTGATGCCAGGCTAGGTTTTGCTGCAGTCACAATCAACCCCCAAATCCCAGTGGCCTAAACCAGCTGGTGTAACGGGCCCATCAAGCAGCAGCCTGGGAGCTGTGCTCATTCTAATCACTCAGGTCCCCGATTCCCCAGGGCCCCATTTTCACACATGCTCCCTCCATCCCTAGGGCAGAGGATAGAGCTGGGGAATGGCTAATAAGTTTTTAAACTTCCCCTTGGAACTCATGGGGCACTTCTGCTCACATTGGCCAAGTCACATGACCAAGCCTGACTCCAGGGAAGGACGCTGAGTATTGATGGACAGTAATACAGTCAAACACACCAACCATCAGACCCACAGCTAAAGTCTTAACCACGGTAAGTTTTTAGTACTTTACTCTTCAACTAAGCCCTTTTGCATTCACTATTAGAGTGAATAATAAATAAATGTATAAATGTGAAATGTATTCCTCACACTAGCCCTATCTCAGGCCATCTCGGCTTTGTTAGCCCTTGCATATTACATGTGAAGGTAAACTGGCTGCCCAAACTTACACAGCCAGTAAGGAGGCAGAGCTTAAATGTCAGCTTTTGGGGCTCTAAATCCATTGCTGTTTCCTCAGCACCAGGAGGATCTTGTCTCTGGCCCCCAACCCCTATGGCATGCACGGGACACACTTAGAGCAGGGCCCTGTGACCTTACTATGTTCTCGCCCTCCCTGTACCCCACTGGGCTGCCCCTTTGTTTGTTTTCACAATAACAAAACAAAGTAGGGGCAGGATATGGGTCTAACTAGCAGACTGTCTCCACTGCAGGGCAAATCATACCCTGAGTGGCATCACCAAGTGCCTGGCAGAACAGGCTGAGAAATGACTGCCAGAAAGATGTGCTATATCTTTGCAAGGCATGTCCTGCAGTTCCCAAGATGCTGGTCTCAGTACCTTGGAGTCTCTCTCCAAAGCAACCCAAAGAGAAGGGAGAGTGGGTAATAGGAGGAGAGCTGAGAATGCCCCCAAGGCTTAGTATATCCCTCCAAGCCAGACCTTAGGAAGGCCTTTCATTCATTCATGCATGCATACCTTCCAAAAAAAAAAAAAAAAATCCCCACTGCCAAAGTCATCAACATTTAGTCTTTGAATGATTGCTCACTAATGTATCATTTGGAGGGTGGATTTGCCTTTCTGGAGATGTGCTTGGGCAGCAATTGTGGTTAGTCTGCTTTTTCTGAAGTCACACTTCTTGAACAACAACAAAGGATAAATCAGACTTTTTATTTTTATTTTCTTTATTTTATTTGAGACAGGTCTTGCTCTGTTGCCAAGGCTAGAATGCAGTGGCACAATCATGGCTCACTGCAGCCTGGACCTCCTGGGCTTAAGTGATCTTCCTGCCTCAGCCTACCACCCTGGCTATTATTATTATTTTTTTTTGGTAGAAACAATGTCTCACTTTGTTACCGAGCCTGGTCTTCAACTCCTTTTCTCAAGAAATCCTCCTGCCTCAGACTCCCACACTGGATTAGAGGCATGAGCTATGGTGCTAAATTAGATTTTTTTTTTTTGAGATGGAGTTTCGCTCTTGTTACCCAGGCTGGAGTGCAATGGCACGATCTCGGCTCACTGCAACCTCCGCCTCCTGGGTTCAGGCAATTCTCCTGCCTCAGCCTCCTGAGTAGCTGGGATTACAGGCACACCCCACCATGCCCAGCTAATTTTTTGTATATTTAATAGAGACGGGGTTTCACCATGTTGACCAGGATGGTCTCGATCTCTTGACCTTGCGATCCGCCCGCCTCGGCCTCCCAAAGTGCTGGGATTACAGGCTTGAGCCACTGCGCCCAGCTAAATTAGATTTTTTTTAAGAGGCTACCACTCTTTCACACTCTCCCATCCCAAAATGCAGAAAGGTAATTACAGTTCAGATGTATCAGCAAGACTGACTCAGGAAGAAAAGAGTGAATGGGGTACATGTCTATTTTCATAAATAATGGAAATCTTCATTACAACCACACAAAGACAGGATCACTACTCCTATTTAACAGATGAAGACATTGCTCAGAGATGACAGTGCCTGGTTTAAGATCCCCTAGAAAGGCTCACAGCCAGAAATCACAGCCCTGTTAGTTTGATTCCAAAATCTATGTTGTTGTCACTGAAGTCTATGCTGGTTTTGTTCCCTTGAAAAGCCCTCTCTCCAATCCTAGGCTAATTTGTTAGTTGCTAGGATGAAGCCATGAGGCTGGAGTGGGCTCCTTGGGAACAGGAACTGTTTCTTCACTAGGGGAAGACAAAGGAGCTGGGCACTCAAGGAGGGAGGGGCTCTGCAGCAGCTGAGGCCCATGATCCAGCCCCTCATCAGAGCCAGATGGGCTCCATAAAGGAGCTCTTGATTCTTCCTTAAAGGGTTTTTTCCCCCAAGGATGGGGGATGAAGCAGGGGAAACATGACCTCTTTCCTTGGCATTCGCACTCCCATTCCCTGCCCGTCCTGCCCCACGTGAAATTTACAGTCACGTCTGAAGCTTCTCAAAGTGGGAACCATTCATGAAGAAATGGCAAGAAAACAATCTCCTGAAGAATTTCCCTGCGTTGCAGACGACTTCCTGAGTCAACGGGATGACATGGTGAGTACGAGGGAAAATACAGGCGAATGCAGGAGGGGAGCTGCAACCTGGTTTTAGAGGATGAGGGCAGGGAAAAGGACGGGACTGGAGTCTGGGCACAGTGGCTCAGCCCTGTAATCCCAGCACTTTGGGAGGCCGAGGCGGGTGGATCACTTGAGTCCTTGACTGGGTTCTTGAGTCAAGAATACCCTGGTCAACATGGCGAAACCACATCTCTACTAAAAGTATACAAATTAGCTGGGTGTGGTGGCAGGTGCCGGTAATTCCAGCTTCTCGGGAGGCTGAGGAATGAGAATCGCTTGAACCTGGGAGGCAGAGGTTGCGGTGAGCTGAGATCATGCCACTGTGAGATTCTGTCTAAAAAAAAAAAAGAGACTGTAACTCCAGTGGGCACTGGGCCCCAAGAAACCTAGAGGTAGCAGTGACCCTGGGTAACGGACCCGCTCAGAGCCAGGAATGCTTCAGTGACTATCAGCTTGGGTTCGCAGGAGGCTTTACATTTGGTTCTCTAGGTATATTAGTCTTCTCAGGCTGTTGTAACAAAATACTGCATGCTAGGTGGCTTAAACGACAGACAGTCATTCTCACTATTCTGCAGGGAGACTAGAAGTCCAATATCAAGGTGCTAGAGAATTCGGTTTCTGGTGAGGACACTCTTCCTGGCTGTATTCAGCCACCTTCTCGCTGTGTCCTTATGTGACCTTTCCTTTGTTCACACACAGAAAGAGAGAGCTCTCTGGTATTTCTTCCCCTGTTTACAGGGGTACCGATCCTATTGGATTAGGGTCCTGCTCTTAGGACACTGAACTGGTGTCTTCAACTGTTAAATAGGAATAGTGATCCTGGCTTTGCAGGGTTGTAATGCAGATTTCCATTGTTTATGGAAATAGACATGTACCCCATTCTCTCTTTTACTCCTGAGTGAGTCTTGCTGATACATCTGAACTGTAATTACCTTTCTGCTTTCTGGGATGTGGGAATGTGAAACAGTAGTAGCCTCTTAAAAAAAATCTGATTTGGACCAGGCACCGTAGCTCATGCCTCTAACCCAGTGTGGGAGTCTGAGGCAGGAGGATTTCTTGAGGCAAGGAGTTGAGGATTTCTCAACTCAAGGATTTCTTGAGCCAAAAACAAAAAAGGCCGGGCACGGTGGCTCATGCCTATAATTCCAGCACTTTGGGAGGCTGAGGCGGGCAGATCATGAAGTCAAGAGATCGAGACCATCCTGGCCAACATGGTGAAACCCCATCTAGTCTAAAAATGCAAAAAATAGCTGAGCGTGGCGGCATGTGCCTGTAATCCCACCTACTCGGGAGGCTGAGGCAGGAGAATTGCTTGAACCCTGGAGATGGGGGTTGCAGTGAGCTGAGATCGCGCCACTGCACTCCAGCCTGGGGCCTGGTGACAGAGCGAGACTCTGTCTCAAAAAAAAAATAAAAATAAAAATAAAAATATAAAAATTAGCCAGGCTTGGTAGAACAGAGGACCTCTTTTAACCTTAATTACCTCCTTAGGGCCCTCTCTCCAGATATAGTAACTAACATTGGGGACTGGGGCTTCAATTTATAAATTTTCTGAAACACAATTGAGGGCGTAACCCTAGGGTTAGAGGAGAGCATTCTGCTAAAATGCCTGTCTTACTGGACTGTGAGCCTTGACTGAGAAGACCAATGTTCAGTGTGAAAATACCTGCCGACAGCCTGGCACTAAGTGCTCTGCCCTTTTACTTTTTTTTTTCTTTTTTTCTTTTTTTCCTCTCTTATTGTCAATAGAGAATAATAAAGTAGCTGAGAATTAAGAGTTTACAATGAGTCCAGCACAGTGGCTCAGGCCTGTAATCCCAGCACTTTGGGAGGCCAAGGCGGGTGGATCACGAGGTCAAGAGATCGAGACCATCCTTGGTCAATATGGTGAAACCCCGTCTCTACTAAAAATACAAAAAAAAAATTAGCTGGGCATGGTGGCACGTACCTGTAATCCCAGCTACTCAGGAGGCTGAGGCAGGAGAATTGCCTGAACCCAGGAGGCGGAGGTTGCGGTGAGCTACAGAGTGAGACTCTGTCTCAAAAAAAAAAAGTGCAGGGCCTAGGACAGGGGCCCAGTTGCCCATGACCAAGAGTGTCCCCTTTGCCTGTCCACCTATCCAATCTCAGCATTCCTCCATGAACATGCAAAGTCCACCCCTTCCCAGGAGTCCTTCCAGGCTCGTTGACTCACAGGAAACTCCTTCTGAAATTACAACTCTTGGTTAGTATTCTAATGAAGACACTGCGTGTGGGGTGCTTCCATGCACCTTCTTTCACTGAATCTGCACAGCAGCCCCCAGGAGGCAAGTGTTATCACCCCTGTATCACAGATGAGGATACTGAGGCTCAGG